ACTAATATTATCATAATGAATAATCAGAAATATATAAAATTAAAGTTAAATTCAAAACAACAACAAAAATAAATAATAAAAATAAATAACATCTCTATTTTCATCAATTAAAACAACATAAACAACAAAATAAATTATTTTACAACCATGAAATACAATAAATAAAACTTTACATGATTAATAAATAATTTATAATACACATCATCAAATTATAATATAAATTAACATGAAAAGAATAAGAAATAAAGAATAAATGAAAAAAAAAACAGAAGCAAATTAGAAATTAAACATTTGTAATAAATAAGTCATTTTATATGATTATTATTTATATCTATTATATTAACACTAACTTTGTTTTACTGTGTAGATTATTTATTGTTAATACATTTAATTAATTTAATATATGTTAAGAGTAAAATAAATAATAAGAAATAAAATAAAGCAAGAATGGATAAGAGGTCATACGGATTATAAATCAAATCAAAATGAAAATAATATAATGTATAAAATATTAAACATAAAAATGAATTTGATTTACAAACAGCTATGATAACATCATAAGTAATTAATTACTTTTTATTTTTGTTTTATTAAAAAAAGAAATAACAAAGATATTTAAAAAAGATTTAATGAATAAAGCTCAAATATTTTTTAATTGATTAATCATGGCTAATTTCATTCAATTGGTCTTGCATTCTTTGAGTTCTATTATTAATAATTTCTTCAATTCTTCCATCAGAAACATCATTATCAAGTTCAAGATGATTAATAGCATCTTCATCTAATTTAACCAATCTTTTACAAACTTGTTCAAACGAAGGTCGTTCACCAACGTTTTGTTTCCAACAGTCTTGAATAAGACCTTTCAATAACATTGGAATAGATGTATCAAAACCAAGTCTTTTACCACTTTCAACATAATCTTTAATTTCAAACAAAGATTTAAATTCTTTATATGGTTCTTCTTGATAAAACAATTCCCAAGCACTAATAGCATAGGAATAAACGTCACCTGCATTCGTGTATTCATCGTGATATGTTTCTGGTGCAGCATAAATTGGTGTACCAAGTCCTTTATCTTCTGAATTTTTATTATTTTTCTTAGTAAATCTAGAAGTACCAAAATCAGTAATTTTAATACAACAAGCAGAATCAGTATATAAAGAATTAACCAATAAGTTATCAGGTTTAAGATCTAAATGCATAATTCTATTTTCATGTAAGAATTGCATTCCTCTTGCGGTATCAAATAACATTCTAACTTTTAATTTATATGGTAATTTTACATAATCTTCTTTTTCTTTTCTTAAATACTCTCCTAATGATCCTAAAACAAAGAATTGAATAATCATAGAAACTTGTGGTATATAAGTAACTGATCCCATATAATTTGCAATAAATGGATTTCTTAATTTACTCATCATTTCACACTCTGCTATTACTTCTTTTTTTAATTCACTCATTTCTTCATCACTAAGACTCTCCCATCTAAATTGTTTTACTGCAACTGGAACACTACGATAACTTCCAATATAAACTTTACCCATTGCCCCTTCAGCAATTGGTTTTTCTGACATATTTAATTCATCCATATCAATATGAGTAGAAGATGCAGCATCTGTTTTAATAGTAATATGATAATGACAGTGTCTTCTAACATTTTTACAAAGTTTATCCATTTGAGCTTGGTCTTCTGGAGTCCATGTTTCAAAGCTTTTATCTTTCAAAAGATTAGCAATAGATTCTAATGTTGATTTAGATTTACTAAACCAAACAGTATAAGGAATTTTCATATCTCTAATTTTTGTAGTACAATGAAGTGTCATATAACTTGTAAGTAATTTTGGTGTAGAATGAGGTCTTATAAGTAATACTTGAGGTTCAAAATAAAAAACATATTTTGGATTATTTGGTGTATGGAAAATAATCATCATCCATTTATTTCTTGAATAATTATTAACTTCCATTCTTTCAAATCTAGTATCCATAATAGCAGTTGCAGTTGTATCATTTCCATAGTCTAAATCAATAGGATCTATCATATAACGTGCAGTTTTTGATGGTGCACTAGTAGTTGATCCATGAATGTAATAATAATAAACTGGTTGTTGTATTTTATAAATATTGATATCAACTTTTTTATATCTAAGTACAAAGATTAATAATACAATAAAGAAGATAAGAATTAATATCAATCCAACTGTTCCTCCTATAACAATTCCAGCAATAGCACCTCCAGAAATCTTAGTATCTATACATGATGTTGGATCATCTGGATCAGGAGTATGTCCATCTATACATTGACAGAATGAATTACAATTAGTTCCATTATCACATTCTTCTTTTCTTAAAAATGTATCTTTCATATAAAGACTATCAATAATTCCATTTCCACACAGTACATTTACACATTTTCCTTTTTGTTTACTTAATTTCCATCCACTACTACTATCACATCTGCAATTTGGTAAACATCCTTCACTATTCTGAATACATTCATCACCACTACCAAGTTTTCCATTTTTACATTCATTACTTACACAATAATTATTAACTAAAGAATATCCTGGTTCACATTTACAGAACTGGTCACAATGAGAAGTGTTAAAATAGCAAAGTGAACTATAATCATTAACTTGCCATTTCCCATTATAGTAACATAATTTATGGCAATCATCACCTCCAAAACTATCATTACATACACATTTCTTTTCTTGTGGAAGACAATTTCCATTTCCAGTTTCAGCGTTACAATTTTTTGGACAAATAGCTCTAACTTCTACATTTAAGTTAATTCGTTGTTCTTCAGACATAATACCAAAATATCTTTTTGTATTAGCTTTACCTTCAATACGTACAAAAACTCCATTTGGTTCTTCATCAGCAAATACACCATGTGGTGTTCCAGTCCAAACATTAAGGCATTTAGTATATCTATATCCTGACTCATTAACTATATAATCAAATTCTTGAATATAATTAACACGATCAGCTCCTCTAGTATCTATAAGAATTGAATAGTCTCCATCAAATTCAATCTCAAAAAGGATAATTTTCATTATAATATTTGGAATACATACTGGATAACAAACAATACCATATTGTTCTACTGAGAAATAAACATACATATTCTTAGATAAATCATTTGCTAATGAATCTGCTATGTCTTGAGTTAAATTAAATCTAGAAACACCTGTTTTTCCATTAACTGGTTGGATTGTTAATGAAACAGTAACAACTTTATACTCTTTAACGTTAATGAATATATAATAAAAATTCTCATCTTTCTTTGTTGAAGAAGAATAAATTGGATTTAAAATTGGAACTAACATATTTGTTTCAAAATTTGTTTCATTTAATGAAGCATGTGCAAGACAATTTCCAGTATAAGCATCACTTTGAGAATTAGTTATATCAATAGAAAGAAAAGCACTTGATTCATAATTTTTAGCAATATTAATGGAGAGTGTGTCCGTATAAATAGAGCTCATATCTAATTTAAACCATTTACCAAGTCTATATTTTTGTCTATAATAACAAAAACTAGTATCAGCCATAGAATTTTCATTAATTGTAAAAGTAACAGTACTTCCTGTTGTAATACTTTCTATATCTTTTTGTTCAGGAAGCCAACTTTTTTTAATAATAATATTTGTTGTCTTCATACAATAAGTACCATTCGGAATAAATGTCTCATAAACATCATCGTTAGGGTCAGTCCATTTACAATATAAACATGATGTGTCATTAAAATAATTCTCTGAACATCCTCCTCTGCAAGTGTTATCAGCTTCACAACCCCCAATACAACCTGGAGAACATTTAAATGAATAACACAAATAAATTAATATTAACAATGTACAAAGAGTCATTGAGAATAAAATAGGATTTAGTTTCCAAGTTTAAGTTCTTAACAGTTTCAAGAAGTAGATTAGAAGTATTATACTTATTTTACTATTACTTAATAGTTTAAAATAACAAATGTTAAGAAATAATAACTTACAGAATATTTCTTGTATATTAGGAATTCTTTCTCTTTTTTTACAATTATGAATCCAGTGAGGTGGTTCTACCTCTTTATAATTTTACTTTTATTATATTTTAACAATCATATAGAGAAAACTTTCAAAAGGGGAGTACTAATTGAGATATTTATAAAACATTCAAGGTTGGAAATTGTTACTGATTATTTCCTTTAAAAAAAATGTAAAATCCCATAAATTTTGTTGAAATAAAAATATAAAAAATTTTATTACAAAAAAAAAATTTATTAAAAACAAAAAAAAAATTTATTAAAAACAAAAAAAAAATTAAAAACCTAAAAAGAAAAATAAAAAAATTTAATTAAAAAATGCCACCAAAGAAACAACAACTTGGAAAAGCTTTAAAACGTGCAAATGTTAGAGAACGTCAACAACGTAGAAAACAAGACCTTGAAGGTAAAAAACAGATGGAAGGAATTCATGTTGATGGTAAAGCAGGTTCACAATCAGTTACTGAAGCGAGTGACTTACAAGAATTAGTTGATAATGCAGCAGCTATTAACGAGGCATTTGCAGTAGAGAAACAATATAATGTTGTATATAATAAGAAAGCAATAACTACCGTTACAGAAATGAGTAATGAAGAATTAGAAGAAATAAGAAAGAAGTATGCACTAATTGTTCCAAGAAGACCAGCTTGGACACCTGATATGACAGCAGAAGAATTAGATAGAGTTGAACAAAAATCATTTATGGAATGGAAGAAACAATTATATGAATTACAAAATGAAAGTAAATTATTATTAACACCTTATGAAAAAAATATTCAATTCTGGAGACAGTTGTGGAGAACTTGTGAACAATCTGATGTTATATTACAAATTGTTGATGGTAGAGATCCATTATTTTATTATAGTACAGATTTAGTTAAATATGTTGAAGAATTAGAAGGAAGAAAGTGTGGTATTTTAATTAACAAAGCAGATTTAATGACAGATGAACAAAGAGCAATGTGGTTGAAATATTTTGACGAAAGGGGAATTCGTGTTATTTTTTATTCTGCTTTAAAAGAAAATAAATTGGCTGAAGCTGCTATAAATAAAGAAGAAAAAGTTAGAAAAACTAGAAAGAGAAGAGGACAACAAGAAGTTTTTGATTTAGATCAAATTCAAAAAGAAAAAAAAGAAATTGATAAACATGAAATAAAAGAAGAAAAAGATAATAAAACTATAGAAAAACAAAAAGAAATCAAAGAAAAAGTTATAGAACAACTTCCTTTCACTGATGGCAAAGATATAGTTCAATCCGATAATAAACATTTAGGAAATCATGTATTAAGTGCAAATGAATTAATGGAAGAATTAACAAGATTAGTAAGTGATATTCCTTTAAGAGACAATAAACAAAGAAAAGTTATTGGTTTTTGTGGATTCCCAAATGTAGGAAAATCATCAACTATTAATTCATTAATTGGAATTAAGAAAGTTGGAGTTACAAGTACTCCTGGTAAAACTAAACATTTCCAAACATTAATACTGAACGATGAACTAATGTTATGTGATTGTCCAGGTCTTGTTTTTCCATCTTTCTTATCTTCTAAAGAAGAAATGATTTGTAGTGGTGTTTTACCTATTGATAGAATGCAAGATTGTCTTGGTCCAATTGATTTAGTGACAAGAAGAATTTCACCATCAATTCTTGAAGCATTTTATAAATTTAAAATCCCAAAAGCAACAGATTTTCTTCATGACTTTATTGATTGTTTTGAATCAAGAACTCCATCAGAAGCTGAATTATTCCTTGCTGGATTTGCTAAAAGTAGAAAATATTATACTAATACTCGTGGGTTATTGGATTATCATCGTGTAGCAAGGATTGTATTAAAAGATTATTGTTGTGGGAAATTAGTTTATTGTAAACCACCACCTGGAATTACTGATGAAGAATTTAAAGCTTCAAGAATAAACGAAAGTGATTTGATTGATTAATTAAATTATTTTGAAACATCTTTATTTTCTTGGTGTTCTTGACTTAATTGAATGAGATCAAGATTTGATAAGAATTCATGTTCTTCATCATCTTCTGATATAATCATACTATCTAAATCCTCAATATCTATTTTCTTTTTCTTTCCTTGTTGTAATTTTGAGTCATATAATCGAGTTAGGTGTTGGAGATGATGATTATGTTTTTTGCAATAATATTTGCATACATAATGTTTTGCTAAAGGACATTCATCACATAAAGGATTTGGTTTACAAATATATTTAGCAAATAAAATTGTAGCTTTAGAAAAATAACTCCAATGCTCTTTTGGTAACCACTCTTCAACTTCTTTCATTGCATCATTATCATTAGAAATGTCTTTTAAAATCCATTCAAGACGACTTAAAAGAAGTAATGAACGTTGGTCAACTGTAATACCTTCTATTTTTTTAAATCCAATTGCACAAATAATCTTAGCTAACTTAGGACCAATACCAGGTAATTTTTTTAATTCATCTATATCATCTGGAACAATATCGTTATAACTATTATGAATTACTTTTGAACATTCAAGAATAAATTTTATTTTTCGGACTTTTCCATAACATCCATCTAATAACTCATTTAATATATCTTCGGATGTTTTTGACATAATCTCAGGTGTTAATTTTTTATAATGTTCAATAAGATTATTCATAACCTTTAATCTCAATGTTTCACATGTTTTTGTTGATAACAATGCCCCAATTAATGCATAAAAAGGTTTTGATTGTTCATCAGGTGATAATTCTGTAATTAGATTAGTTCCAAATTGTAATTTTTTTTCATCAAATGTTTCAACTTTCTTTTTAATTTCTTCAAGAATAGCTAATCTTTCATTAACTTCATCTTCTGAGTATATAATTTCTTCTTTATCTTTTCTCTTCATATTAACTATTTTTAAGTTTTTTCTTTTTTTATGATTTTCCTCATTTTGATATTTAGTTTATGAAAACTAATATCTTATTATTAATAAATAACAAAAAAATCAAATTTAATATTTAGTATTTTTCTTTAAGAAAATGTTATTCCTTTACTTGTATAATTCAATATACTTAACTATGTCTACATCTTTAGTCTTCTACCATATAAAACAATAATTCTAAAACAATTTATTGGAACAAAAAGAGTACTAAACATTTTGACATTTTTTTAATACTTTAGAAATTCATTGAAACATGTTAATCTTTTTAAAGTTTATAGAATATTATTATAAGGCATGTACTTTAACAACAACTTTTGAAAAGAAATGATGTAAGGTTAGAAATAAAAAATACTTCGTACTTTGAATTTATAAGGTTTGATTTGTTGTGAAAAATCAAAGTATTAGTTCATAACAACAATCAATAAAACTTGTCTATTATTAAAAAGATTGAAACAAATAAAAAAATGATGAAAAGAATAAAATAAGTTAATCAACTTTAAAAAATTAATATTTATTATACTATACTTAATTACTATGAATTGTAACCATATTATTGGTAAAAGTTAAAATATATTTCTAGTGTTTTGTTAAAGTATTCGCTATCCTTCTTTCATAACTAACAAATGAGATACTTTTAGCAAAGAGTTACTCAAAAAGATGAATACACAAATAGAGAAGACAATCTTTTGTATCTTTTGTAAATAGTTATTTGACAAAAAATTAATTTCTAGAAATATTCTAAAAATAAAAAAACTTATACGATTATTTTTTTTTACTTTCGTTTTGTCCTTGGAATTTCAGTTTTATTTTTCCTGTTTTTACTAAAGAAGTATTTTATTCTCAATTACCTAAAAAAATCATATAACTTTTCTCTGAGTAATATAATTGTTTGTGTTATGTGTTTATAGTTAAGCCAATGAGTAAAAAGATTATCAAACAATTCTTTTAATTATTATTTATATCACTAAGTAATTAATCAATAAAAATTCAACATATTATATATAAAATTAAAAAAAACAACTTTAGTTTTCTTTTTAATATACACCTTATTAACTTTATTTGAATATATATATATGTATATCTTTAACTTTTTATCTTAACAACAACCTTTTTCATTCTTTCTTTTTAAACTGAACTTTAGATAGACAATTTTTTAAAAAATATTTTTATGTTATTTAAAACATATTTTAATAAAAAGTCCAAAAGATAAAATCAAAAAAGAAAGAACAATAAAACAAAATTTGATTATTCTATCAAACATATCAGAGATAATTTCGATTCTCAGAACATCTTTTACTTCAAGTAAAAGGGAAACTAAAAAATTGTACAAAATAGATAAGGTAGAAAATCATAGTAATTTATAGACTACACTACATCTAAAAACAGATATTTATTCGTATTTCTTGAAAAGAAAGATATTTTTAGATTAAAAGATAATCTATAAATATCAACTAAAATCTAATGCCATTTTAAATATCACAAATCTTTAATTAGAATCAACAAAACTACAAATATCAGTATCTCTTTACTATGCAGAACCAATTGACATATCTTTCCAGTATTAAGAAATATGGTAAATCAAAGTCAATAGTTGTTGTAGAACATAAACGAGTAAATGAAATATTAACTAAGGATTGGACTGAAGAAGATAACAAAAATAAAGAGTGTGATTTAGAAATACAAGCTATTCTTAGAGGTAATGAAGAAAGTAACTTAGATAATTTGTTTACAACTGTTGGTACAAATTCAGTTGTAAATGAATATTCATCCTCAGTCCATCCAACAAGTGCATAGTCTCTCAATTATCCCTATTGTTTTTTCTTTATTATTTAACTTGTTTTTTTTTTTCAAATAGAGTTATGTCCCTCATTCTTAAATATTCTTTTTAACAACGATCTTCTTTTTTACTTTCTTCAATAAAAATTCGGTTTCTTTCTTCAGTTCAACAGTTGTTTTATTAACATACTAACTATGCTAAAAAAGTCCAAACTGTCAAATAAAGAGAGAGAATCGGACTTGATTTAGAAAGTGAAAAGTTAAGATATAGAAATTAGTTTTTTGTTATTTATTTATAATTATTTTTGTTATTCATTTCAAACTGGACATTAAAAATTAGTTATTTTTATTCTAATGATGAATTCTATTTTGAATGGGCAATTTAGTGTAACAAAATAGTGTCGATAGTTTTCTATTATTAAATTAGGTCTTAGTAGTATCTCCAAAAAAAGAGAAAACAGAAAATAATACTTGACACTTTTAATTCAGTTGACTTAAGTGACATTTATTCAAAAAAATATAATTATAATTAGGTTTTTGATTAAGCAATGACTATTACTGTGTTGTCAATTAGTCATTTGTGTTATGTGCTTGATATATTATTCATTCAAACGAACTAATATCTTATTCATAATAAATACTACTAAATCATCTTATAAATAAATTGTCTCAATCATTCTTTTTTTTATATCAATTCAACACTTTTCTTTTGTCAAAATTGATTTTAAATTTTTTGTTAAATATATGTCTCTTTAACACTGATACTTTTCTTATTCAATAAACTGATAAACAACGGTCTTATAGTTGTAAATTTTACCAAAAGTTTTTGTTATGTTTTATGAATAAGTAAATTATGTAATAGATTATATTTTATATTTCATCTAGTCTTTTCTTTTTTTTTTCTATCTTTTCTAGTGGTTCTTGATTTATATATCAGCTGTTGGTGACATTCGTCTTGTTAATTTTTATTCCCTTAGTTTAATTGGTATTATGTTTGAGTGTCTTTTCATTGTTTTTATATTCTATAAATCTTATTATCTTCTTTTTCAAAAAATTTAATATCATCTCAACAAAATGAAAAATTTATCAAAATAGTACTGAAACAAAGAATCTAACTGATTAAACAAATTTTTGTTTTTGATACATCAAAATAAACGAACACCTTTTGAATGAAGATAAATTTAATGGATTAGAATAAGAACTTTTAATAATCAAAGAGTGTTAATAGAACCAAAAATTTTTATAGAATAATAAATTTGAATAAAATTTATAGAATGATAAATAAGAAATAAATATAAGTTCTTCAAAATAAATTCTTCTAATAAAAATACTGTTGTTTATTCCATTTATAAACAATATCTAATATACCAAATTCGTCTCATCATGAAATAGGTTATTGGCTTTAAAAGAACAATGAAAAAAAAATTATTTAGACAAACATAATAAAATATAAAATAAAATATGTATTGATTGTTTATGAAAACACAAATAATGACAAAAACAGCTAAATGAATTAGTAAAAAAATAAAACGTATTAAAAGAATTAATTTAAAATTCAACTTACTGTAGAGTCTAATGTGTATTTTAGATGAGTGTATTTATTAATAAAATGAACAACGATTCTATTTAACATTACTATACAAATAAAGTTATCAAAAAACCAATGGTTGGGATAATAATATTAAGAATAATATTTTATTCTCATTTTAACTTCTTTTTTTTTAAAAAAAAATACCTTTCATTCTATTAAAAATATCTATGAAACAATGAAGCAATTGTATTAAAGAATATTATTAATTTTGAAGGATAAGAAATTTGTTAGATAAAGGAGTTCTATCCTAAGAAATATAATTCATATTTATTAGACTACATTTAATTTAAAGTTAACTGGTTCTTATTTTAGTAAATTAAATTAATTATTTTAATATAGTTATATCATGTATTTTCATTTAAAGGAAAGAATTTAGAAGAAATGACGCATGATATAAAGAAAATCTTTATTTTCACTTTCTTTATGAAGATACTTATAAAACAAAAAAAAATTTTGTGAATTTTTTTGTGAATTTTTTTCTAAATTAACCCAATAAAAACAATAATAAATTTATAGTTTTTAATGGTAAAAAAATTTGTATTTAAGAAAAGGGAGGACAGAAGAACTCCAAAATAAATAAAAGATAATAATGTCCAAACAACAATCAAATTCACCAGTTTTTCCATTAGGAGAACCAAAAACATTCCAAGACACCATTAGTGGTATTGAGGGACACAGTTCACAAAATGGAATTTTAATTGGAGTATCGTCATGGGATAAAACATGTAAAGCATTTTTAGTTAATTCACCAACACAAACACAAATTGTTGGAAGTGTTAATTGTAACTCACCACTAACTTCTATATGTAAAGTTCATGAATCACAATTTTTAGTTGGATCACTTAATGGGGGAGTATATTTGTGGAATGTTCAACAAAATTCACTACAACAAGTAGGACAATTCAATGATTGTATAACTTCTATGAAACCACTTCTTGAAACTAATTCTATTGTTATTTCGAGTTTAGATGGATCATTAGGACTACTCGATTTGAATTCAGGTAATATTTCAAAAATGCCAGTGAATAATAAAGTTATTTGTATGGATGCTAAATACCCTTATATTACTTTCCATACTCCAAATAAAGTAGAAGTATTTAATATACAATCAGGTAAGTTAATGACAGATACTCTTATTGGAGGGCAACAATCTACTATTAATTCAAGTGTTCAATGTATAGCAGTATTCCCTGATAGAAAGGGTATTGTATATGGTGGTGCTGATGGAAGAGCAAATGTTCTTCATTTTGAAAACAAAAGTAACCAATATACTTATGCATTTAAAGCTCAACATAAAAAAATATCAACAACTCAAACATACTATTATCCAGTTAATTCAATTTCATTTTATAATGAAACAATATTCCTTACTGCTGGTAGTGATGGTGTTATTAATATTTGGGATAAAAATAAGAAAAGCCTTGTTAATACTTTAACTTCTCCTATTCAAAATTGTCCAATAACTACAGCTGATTTCATTTGTGAAAATAAATTTTTAGCTTATTCAGTTGGATATGATTGGCACCAAGGAGTAGAAGGACTTCTTCAACAACAAGTGTCAGTTCCAGTAATCAAAGTAGTGGATGATCCTTTAGTTCGTTTATGAGGGTACTTTATTAATCAAGTAATTATTATCTTTTTTATTATTTTTTTTATTATACTTAATAAAAAGAAAAAAGATCTCAAAAGATTTAAATTTTATGAAAGGTTTTATTGTTTTATGCTTGGTTGTTTCATGTTTAGCTAACCAATGCAAATGTGAATTAGTAGAAGAGGATGGAACAAAAAGTGAGTCTTATAAATGTAATAGAGTTGAAGATTTTAGTGCAAGTGAATGTATTATCTTTACTTCTCTTGAAAGTGTTGTTGGATTACCTAACAATGTAAAAGAATTAGTTATTAGTGTTGATGAAATTTCAATTCAATTAACAGAAAGTTGTCATATTGAAAAGTTATTATTTGAAGACTTTAGTACAGAGGCTATCTTTAAAGGTGATGGATATCTTAGTATTGATGTAATTACTTCAGAAAATCCAGTATTAATATCTACTTCAATTTCAATGGATATAACAAACTCTGAGTGTAA